CCTATAGTGCAGGCATGAGCACATTACCACAGCATCCAGGACACAGAATGTGCCCATCTGGTTGTCTACACCCTGACTGTGAGCTTCTTAAAAGCAAAGTCAAGATTGGATTCCACTTCTGAATACCTAGTACTCAGGATGACACTTGAGTAACAAGCTAGAAACTCAGAGATTGAATTTCTTCTTGAGCATTTCTCTTCTGTCAGCTGTTGTGCCAGGCAGAAGCTGACGGTCGAGCAGAAGCAAAGTCCTGACCCGGACTTCAAGGAGCTCATAGTAGTAGGAAGGGCAGAGAGCAGTGATGAGAGTGTTGATATGGGGTGGCTCACAGGGATGTAAGGAGCCTAATCTTGCTGGGATAGGGGTTTGGAAGGATGACAGGTGAGGTGAGGATGAGGTGGGAGGGAAGACGATATCTTGGCTGGACAACCAGAGAGGAATGATGTCAACCTTAAGGTTGAAAGGTCTGCTTGTTTAAAATCCTGTGTCCAGTGTTTGCTTGCCTGCATCCTTCATTCATTAATTCCTCAGATATCTTCTTCATCTGGCTCTGAATGAGTGTTGGAAGTTTAACAATGACTAACAAAGACTCAGGCTTTCACTCTTAGAGTTTGGAATGGGATCCCTTCAGGCAGGTCTTTGGGCATGCCTGGAGCTGGATAGGGCTTGAGACATCTCTTGAATATAAGAGAGTTTGGGCCAAAGTAGTCTTGGGCCTGCCTTTCTGGAGGACTAGGGAGAGACTGAGGCTCTCATGGGGCCCCAAGAGGCTGACTTCTATCAGAGTTTTTGTTAAGAGTAGACCTAATGCAATAGTTTGATTGTAAATAATATGGTTCTCCCAGCCAACACTTTAACATTTGTTTGATTTTACTGCATTTCATAATTGATATGTATTTGTAAGAGGACACTGTATTATTTTAATCCTCCATCCAAGTCATTATTAAATCAATAACCACCTATGGTTTATAGTTAATGGACATTATAAAAGCAGGAATGTGCTATTTGTCATAGAAACTATCCTTAGAATGACATTTCAGACTTGACATATCTAGTGCCATCAAATTCACACTGCCAGTGCCTGAATAATCCTTCTATTCAGGGTGTTTTATAGAAATTCATGAGAACGAACTGCTGTTCAATGACTGGATTCATTCTTGAGCTTTCCAGGGTGCTTGTCCAAGGATGGCAGTGAGCTGGACTAGATGAGCATGCGCTTGGTCAGACAGGTCTAGGATGGACTTTTTGCTTTCAGCCACAAGTGGAGAGGCTTGGGAGAAATCCTGCACCCTGACCCTCTGTGTCTTAATGTCTCCTATAAACGGAAGACAGTGCAGTTCATCTTACTAGATGTCTCTTGTCCCCTCTTTATAATCTTACAGTTGTGCATTTGTGTGATTATTGGACTCACGATCTACCTTCCCCTGCTTGGATCCAGGATGAAAGATCTAGGTCTGACTTTGCTCCACACTCTATGTCCACCACATAGTAGATATTCGATACTTGTTTCCACTGCACCTCCACATCCCTCTCATTCTTCCTCTCTCCCATCCCACTGCTGTCAGTTGAGACTGTTCCATATTAAATAGGATATGATTCAGCAAGAAGGCAGATGCTAAATGTACGTGGCCTGGATAGAGCTGATATTCATTATGTTTGTTCTAATTTAGCTACCAGTTGCTGTCTCTATGGCGTTTTCAGGAATTGCTCAAGTGTGGCCTGGGCCAGATTGTACGGTTATGAATTCTGATTCTGAAATGTTCAATAAATCTCCAAGCTGGGGTATTAAAAAGTGTTCTGCCCCCACAAATTAGGGTTTATTTGATTGTCATTTCATTGACCGTAACTGAACTTTAGAGAATCGGTTTGAAATTCTGCTTAGAGATAGGCTTTTGTGAAGAGGAAATCATACATCAAAATCAGGTAAGCTCAGGGTTACATGTAGGGCTGCAACCAAAACAGATGCTGCAGCCAGGTGTGCTGAAAGTCAGGATAAGAGAAGAATTCAGGCTACTTTGAAAAGAGCCTGGTGACCTAGTGCACTGCATGTCACAGCAGTTCAGATCCACCAGCTTTTCCAGAGAGAAAGTTGGACAGACTCCTCCCATAAACACTTACAGTTCTAGGGGACCTGGTGGAAGGTCACTGTGCATCAGGAATTGACATGGCGACAGTGGTTTGGAACAGAGCAGTAGAAAGAAGTGGGGACAGGCTGAGGCTTTGGAACCAGACAGACCTGGGTTGAGTCCCACATAACCGTTAACTGTGTGACCTTGGTCGAGTAAGGTTGTGGTGAGGATAAAGTGAGATAATATATGTTGCTTTACAAGTCTGGGAGATGCTTAAGAAGTCACTGTGGGATGGAAGAACAGATGCTGAGTTGACTTAGAGCTTCTGCCATTGAGCTTACAGTGAGAATATGCAGCCCCTCCTACACCATATGCTGCATGTTTTTGTCTGTTTCACCACAACTGCTTTTATTGATTAATAATTAGTGCTGGTTTTTGTTAGCTGAGTCCATGAAATCAGTCAGTGTCTTTGCTCGGCTTGGGCTTCCCGGAGCACATGGTGAGTCACCATCATCCCCTCTGGTGCAAGAAAACCAGTGACTGGACAGTCTCAGAGCTTTGTACCAAAGAAAGACATACTTAATGCCACTCTTTTCAAAGTACTTCTGAGAACTCAGGAGCAGAACCTGTGAGGGCTGCAGGATAGAAGCTACCCTTCCTTCAGAGCTAAGATGCATTGGTATTGGCTGATCCTGTGGCTGGCATGGAGCCAGCTGGCCATGGCTGTCCACTGTGGTGAAACTTGATAATAGGGATCAGCAGTGGGGAAAGGTCCTTCCTCCTCCCTTTGCAAGCCCAGGACAGACCTGTCCATTGGTCCCTCTGCTCTGTAGACCTACTTAAGACTAACTGAGGTAGCTCACTTTTCTCATCTGCTGAGGTTCTGCTGGGGAGACCAATAGACAGACAGTGATGTCCGTGTGTGTAGTAGGACACTCTTCCGGTAAAGTTAGTATCAGATACACCAGGACCCTTTTGTCAGTGCACCTGTGCTTTTCCTTAGAATTTTTTCTAGCATCCAAATACACAGCAGGTAGATCTCATCCCCAGTATATAAAGCATCCTACCAGCTCTTGGAAAGACTCCAGTGGAGGTGGCGATGGCAGCCACAGCATTGCTTCTGCCCTATGGGATATTCTGAAACCCCAGCAAGATGCCTTCAGGATTGGGGGTGGGGTGGGGTGGGGATGAGTCTCTGCTTTTCTCTCTCTGTATTCTTGTCTTTGTGATTTATAGTATCAGTAATAACATTCTCTGAGAGTTTGTGACACAGAAAGCCATGCTAAGGCTTCATCTCATAGAAAGCTGCAGAGTGTGGTTCAGAGTGGGTACTCAGAAGCCCACCACTACATTCAAATACCGGCACTGACATTTATTAGCTGTGAGGTCTCAGGCCCATCTTGAACCTCTGTGCCTCAGTTTCTTCACCTGTAAGATAGGTAGGCTAGATCATAGGAGTTGCACTGCTAACCCAAAGGCCCCACCTCTCTAGTGGTTCAAATCCACCAGCACCTTCATCGCAGAAAGATTTGTAATCTGTTCTTGTGTTATTTACCACCTGAGAAACCCACTGGAGGGTCAGGTTGGAGTTGGTTTCTGTTTGACAGCAAAGAGAAAGAGAAAGGGGTGAATAATAGTCCTTTTGTCATAGGATGTTTGTGATCATTTTATAGACTTAGAAGTATCTGTCCAAGGGTAAATGTACTCTCCATGTTAGCTCTTAATACATGATGGACACTGTTATTTTCCTGTATTCCAGATAAGAAAATTAAAACTTAGAGAGACTACTAAGTGTTCTGTCAGAGTCATTTGGCTGTGATCGAAAGCCAGCTTTTGAGTACTGCCCTGCTCTGCATCGATTTGGAAAATATACACGTGAGGAGCACTTGGCCGGTTTCGGAAGTGATATTCTCAACTTTCCACAGAGCCCCCGTGAAAGGAGATCCTTTTCTGAATAACCGAACTGGCCTCTGGGAGCTCGCATAATCCCACAGCAGAGGCAATAGCTGACCCGTGACACACATATCACAGAAGGAGAGGGGAGGGATCAGTGAAGAATTCTGTTTGGAAATGTTATCTAACTCCGAGTGCTTTCAAGGGACTTGGTATGTGGAACCCTTGCAGTCTCCCCTGCTGGGGTGCCAGAGAAGCCATGTCCTCCCCCATTTCCTTCCCACATACAGTCAGTTGGAGAGTCAGGGTACTGTCTAATCTTAGGAGGGATCAAGAAACCTTGGGCATGGAGAAGAGATTGGGAAGACACGTTGCCTGAGGTCCCAAGGGCAAGAAACCTCTGGATGGCACATGGCTCCTAGCACTGGGCACCTCTGCTCTTCTCTTCACCAGCTGAAGGGAGGTGAGCGCTGCTTAGCTCCAGGGAGTTTTCCCAAACAAGGGCTCCAGGCTCTCTTAAGACAGTGTTTGCTGTTATCATAGTATCTAAACAGGGTGCATAGGAACACATTGTTCATAAATGGATTCCCCAAGTTGTCTAGCTATGCTGCTGTCTTTCCTTCAACCCTTACCCAACAAGCACTCACCTATCTACACCAGCAGACACACCTGCACATACAAACCCACAAGCACACGCCTGTTGCCAGGCTGTGCCCAGGAACCTTCCTGCCTTAACCCCAAAAGCTCTTTCTCTGAATAAAGAGAATGGGGCTTCCTGGTGAAACCCTTGAAATCCCGGCATATGATCTTACACCTCCAAAGGCCACCCCCGCCCAAGCGTCTTCAAGACGTGCCCCTGACAGATGTTGTGTTTGATCCTAAGCAAAAGCAGAATGACTCCCACCCCCGCTCCCTGCCAGAGTTCAGCGGCAGGCACCTCCAGCTGGAGGAGCCAGGGCTCTTGAACCCTGAGCTATGGGGCCAATTGCTGCCTCTTAAACCCTCTGCTTCACTGTGCCCGCAGAGCTGCCACCTTACCTCTGCCCTCCTGTTTGCTTCTCAGAGCAGCTCCTCACATGCTTCACCTTGTCCTCAGCGGGGCAGCCTTTCCATGGCCTCCAGCAGGGGGGTCCCTGAGTTGCAGGCCAGACTGGCCGCCAGGCAGCCCTGCCTTGCTGGCCTCTGCTTGCTTTGCCTCTGCAGTAGAGACCCGGCCGGAGAAGGGGCAGGGGCGGGGGCTGGTCTAGGGGTCCTGCTAGGATCGCTCACAGCCTGCCTTCTTTCACGGTAGAGGCAGGAGGTTGCCTCAGTGCCATGCTGTGCAAGTCTTGGGACTTGGGCAGTGCCGCTCAGGGCTGGGGCTTCATCCTCGGGCGGTCTGCAGCAGCCTCATTTGAACTCCTAACTCCTTTGTGGAGCCTTTACATGCTGCCGGAGGAAACTGTGAGCGCAGCCTGACCCTGGTTGGCTGCAGGCGCTTCTCTCCACCCACCAGTGCAAGAGGATCCCCCAGGCCCCAGAAAGGCTGCCGGCCTCCCCTCAGCCCCAGACAGAGGCGGGCCGCCCAGTGATGTCACACTAGCTCCGGCCCCAGCTGGCCCAGCCCCTCCCGCCCCAGCCCAGCTTTGGCGGCCCTGCCGGGCCCCCTCCTTCCTTGGCACCGATTCGCCTGGCCAACTGTGCTCCCTGGCCTGCCTGCTCCCAAAAGCCCCAGCAACTCCTGTTGCACTTTGTAGAGGCAGAGAACTTCCCTTTTGACTCAGGTAATGGATTTAGATCTGCTCCAGCTGTGCAGGCAGCTGGTTCTCCCCCAGATTATTCCCTCACCAGCCACTGCTCACAGCAGTTCCCGGTGAACTGGCAGAGCAGCCCAATCTAGACCGCCTCCTCCCTTAAGCCTCTGTCCTGGGGCCTTAATCTTTCTCTAAACTCCTGGGAGGGAGCCCAAGGTGTCAGCACAGACGCTGGGAACTGTCTATGTTACTTAAAGTTAACTGGAAGCGGTGGTTTAGGATGGTTGGGAACATCCGACCTAGGGGGTAATTATTTGCATCTCCACCTGAATGACCTTGACTAAGTCACTTCACCCTCTCTGGACATCCCTTTCAAGCATCTGTCAATGGGATACTAATATTAGTAATCTGCTTCCAGAGACTGTGGCACAGATTTAGTGAGACCACATAAGAAAGTACCTGGTTTAAGACTTTGAACCCAGCCAGGATTCTGGAGTTAGTGGTCCAGAAGGCACAATCCCAGAGGTCTCTGAACGATCCTGTTCAGCCTCAGTCTTTTCATCCAAATGCAACCTCCTTTTAACTCTTCTGAGAACAAATACTGTAACTCCATCAGTGTCCTCAGCCCAGAGCCTGTCACATAGGTGGAGCTCAGTCAACAAAATCAGAAAAGAAATACATTGGACCCTGTAAAATGAACATGGCATCACTAGGCTGCAAAGAGGGTACAGAGCAAGAAAGACTTGACTTACTTCTAGACATTTAGGCAGGAGAGCAGAGAAGGGAAGGGGAAGGAGAAAGGGAGCAGGGCACAGGTTTGTCCCATGTACTTGGATGGATAGCCCTCCTCCAGTGTTGTAGAGTTGATTCTGACAAGACACCCCATAGGGTTTCTGTGCAACCAGTTAGCACATGAATATTTGGCCATTGGCCACAAGGGCTCCTTATAAAACTGCTGTAGCAGATTACTTTTTAAAAGATGGCACCCACAGTGTAACTGTGACACCTCTCTCCTTCACAGGTGAGACCTACACCTTCTCTTAAGCCTGAGTGGACTTGCTTATAGTCAGTTGCATACACTGGAAATGATGCTATATAACTAAGTTACTTCCAGGGAAAAAGGCCTTGTTTACTGGGACATTTACCTTTGGATCCCTGAATCAAGCTGGAACTAAGAATTCCATCTGTTCTGAAGTTGCCAAGCATAGGCGATATATTGGTGGAAGTCTCACTTGACAGCAGGCGTCAACTCCAAGATGTGAAGAAAAATGCCTCTAGATTAATTCCAGTGTCTAGCCATCAAATCACTCCATGCTAATGAGTCATTCCCAACCATTTAATTTTCTTTCTGAAACCCTAGACATCATGGTACAGAGTGTATACATTCTAAATATGAGACTTCATGAATATAATAAAAGGATTGTTTAAGCTACTAAGTTTTGGTAGTAATATATTACATAGCAACAACTGGACTATACCCTGAGCCAAGAGTGATTATAGTAAGTTTTCTAGAATTACTGAGAAAAGTGTCATGTGGCTGAGGAGAGAAAGGGAGCATGGCAGAAGGTGAGGCCCTGTTGGGGAGGTGAGACTTCATCCGGTGGAGATAGAATTGATAAACACTAGAGACAAGATATCAGAACAGATGGGAAATAATTGCAGTCTTTCTGGTGAGAACAGCAATGGAGGGTAACAGTAGTAATTGATTAAGCACAGCCTTCTCATGACTGAGTCAGGTAGGAATTTTCAGGACTTTTCCACCTTGTGGACACAGGTGGCACCCCAGATTTCCTATTACCAAAGCAAATTCATTTTAATAATCCAAGGTTTCTGGAGTTCCATTAGGTATAACCAGATGAGACTTGAAAGGGGGGAGTAACCAGAGTAGCCTTGCTCTGCTTGTCTTTCCCCAGTCCTGCCCCTCTGAATGACCCTGGGCAGTTAAACGTATAAGTAGAGAGTGCCACATCTTGGTATCTCTGAGTCTCAGTCTATTCATGTATAAAATGAGAATAACACAGCCATGTAGGGCTGTTGTAAGAATTAAATGAAATGCTATATTTCAAAGTGGCAAGTACATAAATAAGAGCTCAATAAATGTTCCCTGTAGTAATTTTGGGCTGTGACTTTCTACAAGATGAGAACATGTGTGGACTGTATAGAGTTCTCCTTTTGTATAACCCATTATTGTGCAATGAGCAAATGAATGGCTGATTATGTGAGAGTGAACTGTCCCTGGAAGTCTGAAAGACTCGGGATCAAATGCTAACCCTATCACTAACCTATTGTATAACCTTGGACAGTTTTATTATTCTTCTAGAAATTTGGTTTCTTGATTTGTAAAAATGAATAATACTCCTTTGTTGTTGGTGTGAAGGTGGAAAAAGACAATGTACCTCAAGCACTTGGCACAATGCTTTTTGCAGCAGATCCTCAAGAAATGTTAGCTGCTGCCTTTCCCAGTCCAACCTTCTGCTCGCCGTTACCCAGAGTTTCTTCGGCAGACTTCTAATTTGGTGACTGCTGGGACTTAAATGCTCAGTCTCCACTGGCAGCTCCTCAGGAGGAAGATGAGCAGTCTCTTCCCCTGTGATTTACAGCTTACAGAAACCCGCTGTAGGGCCAGCTCTGTGTCTGTTCAAGCTTGACAGCAGTGAGTTTTTGTAACCTTCTCCAGCAGTGCTATTTTCACCAGAATGCTGCACAGAAGTATCATGTGACTAAAGTTTTGGGGAGAGAGAGGAATCAGTTTTTCTCTTTGTCATTTCTATCCATATGAAAAATGTGTAATATTTACATGGGCAGAATACAGATAATAGTAACATATGCCCCACATGTGCTGGAATGACTTATGTTTTCATGTCTTAGTCCCCTTGACAGTCACAATTTCTTGTTTCTGTCTGAAATCTTGAGATGTTCCATTAAAATGTTGTCTATGTGGGAAGTGTGTCTACATGTCTCCATGTTATGGAAGCATGTTTACCATATATTACAGAGAGTGTGCTTGGAATGGCAGGAATGTGCTGCATCTTGCAACCTTAGAATCCTGCTAGCCCTTAAACTTTTCATATCTCAAGTTAATTCTCCCCCTTCAGTACTTATAAAATGCCTTCCTATTGTTTCCAATCTTTTTGTTCTGATGAAAATTCCTTTCTCTGGTGGCCTAGGGGTAAGAAGCTACATTGCAGTCCCAAAGGTAAGAGGTTCAAACTGACCAGCTGCTCCACCGAAGAAAGATAGGCAGTCTCCTCTCATGAGGTTTACTGCCTCTGAAGACCTGCTCAAGGGTCAGCTATGGGTCAGTTCTGACTTGATGGCACACAACACTGTGCACAATAGGTTTCTTCTTTAAGATTTCTCTTTGGTTTTCAACATCTGGGCCGTGGTGACCCTATCTCTGATCTCCTTTGTATTTTATTCAGTTTGGGATTCACTAAACTTCCTGGACCATGGATTAATGATTTTCACCAAATTTGGAAATATGGGAGACATTTTTGGCAATTAAATCCCTCAAATATTGGATTTATTTTTCATCTCTGGTTCCCCATTTTTTCTTGGAACTCTTTACACATTTAGTGTTAAGCTACAAGTCTAACTGTATTTAATTATTAAAGTAGAGTTGTTGGTTTTTTTCCTTTCTTGGATTTTGTTTGGCTAATTTCTCCTGATTTACCTCCAAAATTTTATCCCTTCTTCTGCACTATTCAGTCTACTGTTAAATTTATCCAAAATATTGTGTGTGTGTGTGTGTGTGTGTGTGTGTGTGTAATGTATCTTACTTTTCAGTTTGAGATGGTCCTCCTGCTTTACTTTTATACTTTCTGTATCTCTTCTGAGAGTCTTTATTCCTTCATGTATATTAGACTTCATTTCCTTAAAAATCCTCTACATATTTATAATTATTCACTCATTGCCGTTGATTTGGAACTGACTCCTGGCTGACCCTCTAGCAAGTTTTCAGAGGCTGTATTTCATGCAGGAGGAGTTTGCCCGTCTTTCTGTCTTAGAACCTCTGGCAAATCTAAACCACTTATCTTTAGATTGGCAGCTCAACTGGGCCACAAGAGCCCCCTACCATTTTAAAGTCCTTCCCTACTAATTCTGGATGATCAGTAGGTTTGTTTTTATTTACTACCTGTTCTCTTAATTATGAGTCAGATTGCCCTGCTTTCACATTTTTATGATTCGGATCATATACCAGACAATGTTGTGTTTTGCTCTGACAGACAAATTACTTGCATATCTCTTTGATCCAATGAAGCCTTGGTTTCTAGACTTTGTTCAAATAGGTGTGTTTGGTTTTGCCCATAGACTTCAGGCATAACTCTTCCTCCTGGGCTTATTTGTATGGCCTTTCTGAAATTAAATTGAACACCTTTGATCTTCACTAAACTGCTTTTACTTTGGCAGGTCTTGAATTCTAGATTTCATCTTCAAGGCACCTGTGAAAATCTCTGGTTGCTGTTGTGATCCTTGGTAGGATAGGATCTCTGTGAAGCTAATTAATGAATAGAGGGGAATTTTAACACTCATTTTTGGGCTTTCCTCTCAATGGCTCTCTCCTGTTTGGTATTTCTTCCTTCAGCTTTGAGCCTCAGACTTCAACTTCTTTATCTTTTTGTTTATCAGTAAGATTGCTGCATTTTGTTTCCATTCTGTTCTCCCAATGAGGTGGGAAGTGCCCTAGTCTGCTGGCCTTCTTTCAGATCTCATATCTCACTCGTTTCTTTTGCTTTGGACTGTTATTCAATGCTTTCCAGCAGTTTTTTGTATATTAACCAAAGTTTATAGTTACTGTAGGCCAGAGGTTAG